TGCCTGAAAGCATCAGGATGTAGTGATTCATTCCAAAAGAATTTGAGAGGCATAAAAAAGATATTTAATGGGGTACTATTCAAAGCCCATGGAGAGTGATCTCGTTGAGAGTTGGAAATCTATTGTTATGGTAAAACATTAGGAGAGCTGACCACAATATTTCTAAATTATTTACTTTTCATCTTAACCAACTGGTTGGCTTACCATTCAATCCAGAATCTAGGGTCTAGATTGCATAGCACCCAAAGTTCCTTTTGATGCTCTGATTCCACAAATATTTCTATTTTTTTTCTATTTTAACATTTAAAGATGGATTTTAAAATATTATTTGTAAAATAAATTAAGTACAGATAATAAAGTTGATTTTTGTTATACATGTTATTTTATTTATTCAATGTATATTTACAAGAATCTACTAGGTATTCAGTGGAAATACAAAAGAAGGATGTAACTTTTCTTTCATTTGCTTCTGGTGTATCTGGGAAGACAAGCAAATGCTGTAAATGCAAAACTTGGAAGACAAAACACTGCAAGTCACTGACAAATTGAATGATACACGTCAATGTTCACTCCAAGTTTTTAAATTGTGAACCATGAGACTTTAAGTGTGAAGTTTATTCAATGGCAGCTTACACAGTTAATTTGACACCAATTTGATGAGATGCATAATATTTTGCTACACGGCAAAAAGGCATAAATGCTAACTAACTGCATAAATGACTGTTCTTGGTATTTTTTAATATAAGCAAATAAAACTTTTATCAGTTTTCTCTTCTAACTTTTGAACACCTTCAACATCTATAATCAGTATTAACAAGCTCCCTGATAAAGTGTAATTTCGGCCATGCAGACACCCTGAAAACCTCACGTGTTCTATTACAAGTTAAATTTATTCACCGTGACCTTAGGGCACAGTTTACTTGTGAGTTCTCTCCACCTATAGCCCCAGCACCAGATCCAGCACCATTATCTCTAACTCTTGCCCTTGAAATGGTGGGAATGGTGGCCACCTCCTTGTACAGGCAATATGGATCAGAGTAGACTTGAGCTTCAATAATGTGGGCTCCATCTTACAGCTGAACTTGGATGAGGCCAGGGTTACCAAAGCACAAATAATCCAGTCCTGAGTAGCTGAAGGATGTCACCTCTGACAATGCCACAGGACCGAATTTCTAAGCCTTGGGGAGAGGCTAAAATAGGTTTGACCTCTGTATTAGTCTGCTTGGGCTAGCATCACAAAATGCCACAGACTGGGGGCTTAGACAATAGAAATTTATTTCTCATAGTTCTGGAAGCTGGAGGTCCAACACGAAGGTCCAGCAGGGTTTGGATTCTGGTGGGAGTTCTTACCTGGCTTGCAGATAGCTGCCTTTTCATTGCAGGCCTCACATGGTCTTTCCTCTAAGCACAAGCTAAGAGAAAGAGGAAAAGAAGGAGGAGAGAGAGTGGCCATCAACTTATAAGGCCATCAACTCGATTGGGTTAGACCTACTTCCCCTAATGGCCTTATTTAACCTTAATTACCTCCTAAAGTCCCATCTCCCAATATAGTCACTTTGAGGGCTAGGGCTTCAACATATGACTTTTGGGAAGACACAATTCAGTCCTCGGGTGGCTTACATTTCAAGGAAAATACATGCTCCCTTTTGTTTTACTTTCCTGCACTACTGTCCATTCTCCTCTCCACACCATCCATATTCTGGAAGCCTGAGGCTCTGCTTGAAAACTGCACCTGGTCAAAGTTATAAATCAGTATGAATGAGTTGAAGTCCAATTCCTCCAGGTTTTAGTAGGGAAGAAAAGAATAAATCAGAAATTGGGATATCTGAACTGAAATAGATACAACTAAGTCATGAAAAACATAAAAAGAATAGGCTAGGGTTTTGAAGAAAATGTTCTGTACTTCACTCTGAAGTACAGTGCCCACCTATTTCACACCTGTCATGTATAAACAGAAACCATAACTTTGGGCATTATGCTTGTTTAACCTAAGATATACCTAAACAGAGAGGAATATCTTTAGGGGAAAGTTTTGCCCACCCAAAGTTCCCTGAATCCTGGATACAGTGCAGGGAACACCTGGTTCTGACAGAGAAAGAAGAGCATCTCCCAAGTATGCTCTACAGTGCTGTGGTCCCTGCATGAGTACATGTAAGTATAGGAAAGAAGGATGGCCCGCAATATCTCTATTTTGATCATTCACAATAATGTCAGTGGAACAAAAGCACAGAGAATTCATAGCATGAGGAGACCTATAGAATTTTGGTCAACACGGTGTTTTCTAAACTTATTTGACCAGTCTTCTTCTTGTTATAGCTGTGGTAAGCATTATTTGTGATCACCAACACTCAGCTCTCCCCTCTCTTCTCCCTGAACACACTTTTCCAGTCAGACAGGGTCATATGACTGGTTCTGGCCAATGGGGTTGTGAGCAGAAGTGGCAGGAAAGGAGGTCAGAGTTCCCTTTTGACTATACTTCCCCCTCCTTGGAGAGATCAGAGGCTGTGAATGCTGAACACCAAGACAGTGCAGCAAAAGTAGATCAAAAAGGCCTGGATTGCTGAGTATCCCCACGGAGGATGAGAACGTTGGAGAAACATCCTATCCGCAGTAAGCTCTGCACTAGATTTACAAATTAAACCATTGAAATTAGAAGTAAATTTTGTTGTGAGGCAAAAAAAAAAAAAAAAAAAAAAAATTGCTATTACAAGTTAACTTATCCTATCTTTTGCTAGTTTGCTATTACAAGTTAACTTATCCTATCCTGATTAACAGTCTGTAAAAGACTAGAAGACTCAGCGGGATGATATGTTTCTGAAAATAATGTATTAAGGAAAAACATCTAATTTGGGAAACCATTTTGTATCTTCAGTGCAAAAATAGCATATTCCATGAAAAAGGAACAGAAATCCATAAAGGAAAATAATGTAATATAAAAAGATAAGGGTGAGAAACACTGGGAACATGTTGAGATAAGAAAAGATTCTAATAAAATTGAAATTAGATACTAGAATTAAAATTCAACATGCTCTCCCATAAAGCAGGGGAAGAGGCAAATAAATGAACAAAAAGAGAATGTGGTAAATATGAAAATCAAGGAAGAAAGAATAAATCAACAGAACTAATAACCAGTGACATAACTGAAGAAAATGTTTCTCAGTTGAAATTTAAAAAAAGTAAGTTGGCAGACTGAAAGAATCTGCCAATTAATGATGTATTTAGATATATTATGGTATATTTTAAATAAAAGGATAAAAAATATCATAAGATATTGACCTATCTCCAAACGGTGCTTTGGCTAGAAATGAGGACCCACAAAGTTTACTATTTAAAAGGCCTCCAAATCTACCAGAGAGGGCACTTTTAAGGTAACCCATATGTGGTTCTCCCTCTTCTCTAGTAACTAATCAACACAATTGAACAGCTTCCACTCAAGAGCTCTTGCTTCTGGACTGATCTGGCAGAGACTTGATGACAAGGTAGAGCATCTGACAGATGTACCGACAGAAATACTTTTTTTTTTTTTTTGCTCCCGCCACTTTTCCACCTCCAACTCCATTCCTAGAACTTCCCCCTTTCTACCTAAATGTCCTTCTCTTTTTGGCATAGGATATCTGGCCTCAGTTTTGTAATTGCTTTATTGTGTATCATTATTTCTCATTGGATATCATTATTTTTTCATTGTAATCAATAAAATGATCAGGAGGACTTATCTCTGGATGTTCAGAGAACTATTCTAGGTGCTCAGCTTTCCTCTTGGGACATTTGGCTAGTTTATCATTGTGCAGCATAATGTTGGGTCTTCTTGTACCTGATTCTTATGGGTGACCTACATTCTCCATCAGTTCTTCCTTCATATGGTATGGTTTCTCTACTTTTCTGGAACTCTGGTTTATTCCCAGTGCCTTACACCCATCCTTCATTATTTATACTATAGGAAAAATATCTGTCCTGTATAGGAATGTTTGTGCTTAAGAGATGAAACAGAAGCTTGATACATGTCAACAAAAGTACACAAATGGTAAAAAATTAGGTGGGCCTCAAAGCTCTCATTGGCCATATTAAATGCTAGATGATAACAGAGCAATACGTGTGAAACCATTGAGAGGAAAATGTCATGAGCCAAGAATCTTATGTTCAGTCAAATTGTTCATGTGCAAAAACAAATAGTCCCTGTCATATAACTTCCTAAGAAAAACTTTCTGATATAATTCATTTGACCAAAGAAAATTAATAATCTCCAAATGGGGAAGTATCCTATAAGCTATAAATGAGTTAAACAGAGTTTAGTCTCGATGACTTTTATAAATATGGTCAGTAGTTATAAGGCAAAATGTAAACATTAAAAATCTTTTCTGAGTAAAATACGGGGTGCAAAATGGAATCTTAGGTTCAATGCCCAGATTAGGTTAGCAAAGACTGGGTCATTGCTAGGGTGGAGACAGAATAACTGACCATAAATTCTTCATCTTACACGTGGGCACCCAAAAGATACCATTACTTCTTGACTTTTCATACTGAGAAAAATACAGGGGTGCATTGTGGGATTGTTTATTTCTTTTGCTCATTTAGCAATAAGATTTGAGACACTAACTTGTTGCATATTGAAATTGACAAAGAACAAAAATGGTATATGAAGGAATTTTGATTCAAAATAAATTCTTCTGACTTCTGGGTATTTCCCATCTTATCCTAATCTTCTTGATGACCCCATCCCTTCTCAGAACTAATTCTTCCTCCTGAATCTTCCAGCTTCTAGTATATACCTACAGATTCAGCCTCACTCTTGCTTTTCTCTTCATTCACTTGGGAAAATAACTTTTTTGCCTGCACAGCCCTACCTCTGCCCTAAGCTTCTCAGTTGACAATCTTCCTTGTATTGTTTGCATTAACAGGTTGTCTATCTGTCCTCCTAGAATACAAGGCACACAGCACCCAGAAAAATTGCCCATTTCTCACAGGCACTTAATCCAGAGCAGTAATAAGCAGTATCCACTCACCTGTTTCTGCACCTGTTTCCTATTTCTCCCAAGATGCTCTGATATCTATCTAGATCCTGATATAATATGTCCTTAAAATGAATCCTTCCAATAGTTAATGCTCCCCATCTCATCTCCTCACACTAATAAAAGCAAAAAAGAGAATAATGTTAACGGTGAACAACAACAGCCAGAGGAAACCCCAAAGCAGCATGCTGGCCATATTTTCTATTTGGATTATACTGTCTATTTGCCTAGATCATTATTTCTCCCAGGCTTAATGCCTAGAGGTATGTGCTAATTTGCCAAGCTGCTTTAATATTTAGTGAGGAGCCACAGCCGGCCAATAATTTTTAATAGCTTGTCCTCTATTGATTTCAACCCACACATTAAAGCGCCTAATAAAAATTTTAAAAGGATAGGTGAAGGGACATAAGGACAACAGAAAGTTAATAGCCTTGTCCACCTCCATTTGAAGAGGATTAGTTCAACTTCTGTGTGGTTTGTATAAGACAATTGCTTTCTGCAGGCATTTTTCAGCAAAGTTTTTTAAGATGGGCTTACACAATATGTAAGTACTTTAATTAATATGGTTGTATTCCTCAGCAAACTCTAAAATAAGTAATTTCTGATGAGTGTGTAGATGGCTTTGTTTTATTTAAAAAAAAAAAAATTCCTAGGGTGCCTAGTTGGCTCAGTAAGTTAAGTGTTCAACTCTTGATTTCAGTTCAGATCTTGAGCTCAAGGTTGGTGAGACGGAGCCCCGTACTAGCTCCACAATGATAGTGTGGAGCCTGCTTGAGGTTCTCTCCCTCTCTCTCTGTCTCTCTCAAAACAAACAAATAAACTTAAAAAAAAAATCCCAATAATTGAATGGCACTTCAAGTGTTGACTCCACCACCACTACCACCATGTGATTCAACTGGGGGTTGCCATAGGTGAAGCAAAGGATGCAGCCCTCAAATTGGAGGAACGTATTTGCAGTTCCAGCCAAATTCCCTGAAGCCCCGGCCTGAGGCTTCATGAAACACAAGGCCTGTGCTTGTCCCCAGATTTGACTTGGGAAGAAGTAAGTGAGCTACCCAATATACATCATTTTAGAAATAAAGGGTTGGGGTGCCTGGGTGGCTCAGTGGGTTAAGCATCTGACTCTTGGTTTTGGTTCAGGTCATGATCTCATGGTTCGTGGGTTTAAACCCCACATTGGGCTCTGTGCTGATAATGCGGAGCCTGCTTGGGATTTTCTCTCTGCTCTTCCCACGTGCTCTCTCTCTCTCTCTCTCTCACTTTCAGAATAAATAAATAAGCAAAAAAAAAAAAAAGTTGTAGGAAGAAAGGGTTCACTCTGAAGCAGCCTTCAAACTTAGTATAGGAAATGAGTGCCCTCAAAGGATTTCTTTTGGATTATAAATACGGAGGTTTACCCAAAACCAAACATAGATTAAGTCCTCCTTCAAGCAAGAAACTCTCCATAAATTCTACACAATAAAGGATAGGCCCTGTCCTTTGTGAAACCTCTGGCCTGGACTTCAGGAACCAGGCACAAGCCCTGAAGACAAATGGCTCAAAGTGTAAATCAAAGTTCTTCTACAACTGTCTCTACAACTGCCTCTGGTAAGTTATTTAAAACCACTCTTTGTAGTTTTTTTTCTTATCTAAAAGATAGATTTAATAGATTATAGATTCAAGTAAAGATAACATATTAAGGCACCTTGTATATAGTAGGCACATTTTATTATGGGCAATACTATGTGCTTTAGACAGAAAAGTCTCAATGGATTCTAGAGGGAAATAGTCACTGTAGTTTGGGATATAAAAGGAAAGATTCATAAGTAGAGTGACCATATCATTTCTCTTCCAAAACGGGACACTTTTGAAGGACAAAGAGGGAACTTATTCTAAATATAATGAGGTCACAGGCATAATTGTGCATGTTCCAGACCAACCAGGAGGTATGGTCAGCAAATGCTTGATTTAAGGTTTGAGGAAATAATGGAAATGAAGTGGCAGGAATGTCTGAGATGCAAGGGCTGGGTGCCATGTAGGTTTTTTATGAACTGTGATTAAAAAATCCTGATCAGTCCTTGTTAAAGAATTCTTTCAAAGGTATAGGATATGATAAGGATAGAAGTAGACAGAAGAAGGATCTAGGTTGAAAAATATTTTATTTATATATTTTTTATTTATTTGAGAGAGAGAGAGAACACATGAGTGGAGGAGACAGGCAGAGAGAGAGAGAGAGAGAGAGAGAGAGAGAGAGAGAATCTCAAGCAGCCTCCATGCTCAGCAAAGCCCAATACAGGGCTTGATCCCATGACTGTGAGATCATGACCTTAGCCAAAATCAATAGTTGGACACTTAACCGACTGAGCCACCCAGGTGCTCTGCAAAATATTTGAAAGTCCAAAATAACAACTTTGGTTTTATCTCTTAGATCATAAAGAGACGTTGGAAGTATTTCAGGAGAATAGCATAATGCAAAAATAGTATATTTAGATCAATTTGGCAGACTGGAAAAGGGAAAGAGTATAGAATCTAAAGGGATAGATACTGAAAGCACTATTCAGATATGACGTGAGGTAGGGATGGTCTGGGACAGTAAAGAAATGGCTAAAGTAAGAAATGTTTGAGATGACTTCATCATAACTAATTATGAAAGAAGTAAGAGGGAGCTAACATTACTCCATGAGTTGAAAGTTATTTGATAGAAAGAGAAAGCCAATACGGTTGATAAGACTGATGACATTATATGTCACCTAGTTTTCAAAAGTATCTCAGCATGAAGAATAAAATACAGAAGAGATTTCTTTCTTTTTAATTTGTATTCACCGAGAAGTTCTCAGCAGGTGATAATATCATCATAGATGAAGATGCCTTGACAAGATGCATCCCTGAGACCTTGACTTTGTAATATACATTGAATGACCACTGGAGAAAAGAGCTGGCGCTGGAGTTAGGCCTAGGAATCCAGTTGGTCAGGAATGATCTGATCATACATCAAGGTCAGCAAAGCCAGATAAGAAAGAGAAAGTTAAGTTTACTTAGGGATACAAGGAGGGTAAGAAAGGAAAGATTGTATCTAGGAAATCAGGTAATAGAAATGAGGGACATATACAAAGACCTTGTGAAAAAGTTCTCTGGGCCAAGAGTGAAAAGATGTGGGGAGGGGGTATGAATAGAACAGGGAAGATGAAAGGTAAATCCAAAGGAATTTGACAATTATTGATGAGTCACCTATAATTATCCTCATGAAAGGGATCAGAATATGCCAATCCACATGTGCCACTTTGGCATAAAGCAATTGAGAATTAATAGATATAGGAAGAGTTCTCTGCCCTCCCTTTGTCTGTCTAAAATCAAGGCATAAATTTCCCTTTGAGGGAGGGGCCTTTCTCTCCCCCTCACTTCATTCCCTTCACCCCCATTCCAGGTAGAGAGGAGCAACTCTTGTCATTGAAGATGGAGAGTTGACACCAAGATGAGCTTGCATAAATGGACCTCACAAAAATAATTCTTAACTGCCATTAGCTCTCCCATATATTTCCTGGTATCTTCCCCACAATTTATTGTCCCTTGAAGCCCAAACCTTCTTCTTTTTGTTAAAGGGGTATATAAGCACCTAAGTCTAACCATTGCTTTGACTTTCATTTCTTTTCTGTAACTCCTGTGCATGAAAAAATTATAAAAAGTGTGTTCCTTTTCCCCTATTGATCTGTATTTTCTTATTTAATTTTCAGTCCTCAGGTACAAAACTAAGAAGATAGAAAAACATTTTTCCTCCTCAACTCATTTTAACCATCTGTAAATCAAGGAAATTCTAACTTACCTAACTGAAAATCTCTTGCCCTTTCCAATAAATTGTACTGGAGCTCCCTCCTTATTTTATCTCCTGGCATGGGCAGGAAATGGTTTCAGAGGACAGATGACCTTGAAGTCACAGGAGACAAGGGGCTAATCAGGCTGGGTGGGAGAGAAGACCTTGAAGAACAAAGAGCTTCTGACTCCAGCAGGATTGTCCGAAAGCAATTTGCCACATAATTTCTCCACAGGTAAAATCCCTAAGGGCCAACAAATTAGCTGAGAAGGGATGACTGGATCTACTAATTCTTTTATTTTTATTTTTTTTAATTATCTTAATTGTGCCCTTTCTCTGAGCCAGTCCATTGGATCAGCTGGATAGAAAGTCATATTGAATGAAGGAGTCATAATGAAACATATTAAGATGCTGTCTTGTCCTACCCATCCCCCCTTTCAATAATTAATTAATTAATTAATTAAACTCTGAAGGAATTGATGACCAATGACAGTCTCTACAGAACAGTATGGAAATCAATTAAACAGAAGCTGAAAAATGCCTCAGGGTGTAATTGATAACATGATGAGGCAGGAAAAAAAATTACAAGTATGAAGTCAAATCCAAAAATTCTTACTTAGAGAAAACGCAGAGGCTTCTCATATCCCACAGGACCAATCTGGAAAGCTATTAGTGTTTGGAGAAGCGAGAACCAGAGAATAATTGTTGTTGTTTGTTTATTCTTGACAGTTTTAAAGGACAATTTCTCTTGGGGGAAAATTTCTGTTTCCCACTTAGAAGTTCCTTCTAAATGCAAACCATTCTGGAAAAGTTTTTTTAGCTCTTTCTTGAACTTTGGAAATGGATTTTGCATAAACTTGTGGATCTGTGTACTTAATTGCTTCAGTAGATTATCATTCTTCAAATTCAGAGGTTTATAAACATCACTGGATATGAAACACGATCAGAAAAGAAAAAAAAAAATCAATGTTACAAAGATTAGATGCCAGACCAGTGAATGAAAGGCCAGGATTTTGTCCATGGTGGTCTCTGAATTGAACAGCTGCCGTTTTCAGTATTGAAACATATTCATTGTTGCTGTGATTTTTCATAAAATGTTAAAATGGTCCAAGTGCTTTCTTGAATTATAGCCCAGTCAGTTTAGGCCCTTAGATCTGGCTCCCAGATTTTCTTAGTGTGTTATCCACTAAGCCCCACATACTGCTACAAAAATCTAAATTCCTACTAAAATTTTTAAAGTTGGTCAAAAGATTTTGGTTTTTGTAGAAGAACACAATTGTCTACTGTTTCCCTTGCATTATTAAAGATTTAATGATTTCTAACATGAGAATTAAATTATTAATGCATTTGGTACTAACACTATATAGTATTTCAATTCTTAAAGAACTTTTCTGAATCATGAGGTTATTTCAGGGAAAATAACTCAGGAACATCAGATACCTGGAATGCATTGCTCTAAAATTAAGGTAAAATTATTGCACCCCATTAAAATTTGTAATCTCTTGTTAATGAAGTTTAAAAAGACAGCACATTTATCGCAGGGGAGCCTTGGGAAAGGAAGTAGTAATTATCAGAATATATGCACCAAATCATTATTCTACCTCATTCCTTATGCATTTAAACTGTCTCTCTCCACTACACAAGTCTTTTGTAATAAAAGCAGAAGATTTTGATAGCCTACTTAATGTAAATTTAGATGCAATTCACAGCTAGTTTTAAAAGAAGAAAAATCTTAAATTTTATTACCATAGTTCCCAGATTAATTAATGGCAGAAGGGTTAAAAATTCCAAATACATGTTGGTCTTGTTAACACATAATTGATTCCAACTCCTCAAAGACAGTTCTGCCTTTTTACGCCAGACATGTAGGTTGTAAAGTAATGTTCGTGAGTAATACAGCATAGCAAGACAGGTCTATGCAGGCTTTGTTCATCGATACCTATCTAAAGTTCTTTTTAAAAAAATGTTTAATGTTTATTCATTTTTGAGAGACAGAGAGAGAGAGACAGAGAGACAGAGAGAGAGAGACAGAGGGCAAGCAGGGGAGGGGCAAAGAGAGAGGGAGACACAGAATCTGAGTCAGGCTCCAGGCTCTGAGCTATCAGCACAGACCCCGACGTAGGGCGCAAACCCATGAACTGTGAGATCATGACCTGAGCCAAAGTTGGCTGCTTACCCAACTGAGCCACCCAGGCGCCCCTTTTCTAAAGTTATTTTTAATCATAATAAAAACAACAAATACTTGAGTGCCTACTGTGTGCCAAGCACGTTATAAGCACTATCTTGTGTAAACCCGACAGCAATTTTATGTGATATGAATGAACATTTTCTTCATTACACAAATAAAAATCGTGTGTCTCAAAGAAGTAACTTGTTCAAAGTAATTCAGCTGGTAAATAGTATACCTGGGATTTGAATGAGCATAGCTGACACTTGAGTCTATGGCTTATCACTGTGCAAAACTGCAGTCATCAAATCATCTGATAAATTTCTTCTGCAAAGTCAGAAAACTTTTCAAATTGGACAAGCGATTTCACTAACATTTTTCTTTCATTACTACCTATAAATGAGGAACCCGCCAGCAAAACCAGGCAAGAGCTTATCAGCTGCTTCACTTTCAGCAGAATAAGACTGTCAAGATATGTCTATATATTTAAAGTCCTGTATCACTTCTTCATCATGCCTATAGCAATTTTATGATCTATATGAGAAAAAAGTTCCCATCTCTCCCCTCTGACTGGCTGGCCAATCCACAGTACACTCCCCCGGTCATATCCCTAGCTGGAAAAGCACAAGAACACAAAGACATTTCAAACACCATTACTGTGAAGCTTGCCTTAGCTTTCCCAAACAAAATGAGGCAGTTCCATGCCTCTGTATCTTACCACTCAGTTCTTACCTCCATCAGAGCAAAAACCACGGAACATTCTAAATTATCTGCAGGTGAATCATCTTCTTTGCTAGACCACACTCCAGGACTGTCTCTTAGTTTTCAGTGAATCTGTTGGTGAACACAGTAAATCTATTTTTCAATCTCTCATTTTTCTAAAACGTGTTGCAATCACTGATTATTATTGCAATTTTCTCCTCAAGAGCCGGCCTAAATTATTATTCTAAAAAACAAACAAACAAAAACAGTGTTCGTAGCTTTGTAAGTGGGAAAACCAAAAAATAGCCACAAGCAATTGATCACAAAGTCTCAAATTGCCTGAAGTCTCTGCTTGAGGAAAGACTCTTGAATAATGGAGAATTCACAGTACTGCCTGGTGTACCATTTCATACTACTCTGTACCATGAACGTTTCAAAGAACTCTCATGATTGAGAAAATGCAAAATTAATATTTAGCCTTTTGCAAAGTAATTTTGAGAATAACTTCATTTTAATAGCCTAAAACAATGGTTATGAATGAGGAACCACTTTAGAAATTAATACATTCGTCGCTGAACCAAAAAAGTGATTAACTCTATATCATCAATTAAAATGTATGATAACACTGTATCACTTTCATGTAGAATAAACAACGAACATCTTGAAAACTGTAAATTATATACATCCCGTAGAACCTAAAATAAAAAGGAAATTAAAAACTGCTTAGCAAAAGCAAACCCAGTTTTCCCTTAAGGAAAGACATAAAGAACTTTTTAAAAGACTAAAGATTCAGGGTGCCTGGGTGGCTCAGTCGGTTAAGCCTCTGACTCTTGATTTTGGCTCCGGTCATGATCTCACAGTTCATGGCATCAAGCCCCACATCAGGCTCTGTGCTGACAGTGTGGAGCCTATTTGGGATTCTCTCTCTCTCTATCTCTCTTTCTCTCTCTCTACCCCTCCTCTGCTCAGGTGCATGTGCTGTCTCTCTCTCAAAATAAAGAAACATTTATAAATAAATAAATAAGCAAGCAAGATTCATATTTGAGCTCTTTCCTGATAATTCCTCTGAATCATTTAGTCTTATTGAAATGTACAATTATTACTTATGTTAGTAGAACATTCTCACATATATGTATGTGTGTGTGTGTTGATTTTTGGTTTTTGTAGCATCAGTGTAACCAGAGTTTTAAACTTTGTTATATCAAAAACTAATTATTTGAGATTTTAGCCAGTTCCTATTGTGCCTGGAGCCATGACGTAAAGGGTGGACGCAGACAAGATGTCGATATTCCAGACATGGAAGGCTCTCTGTAGTACAATGTAGTCAGAAAATTACATCTAATGATGTTCTCAGAGAGATCCTGAGGATTCAGGAAAGCTATTTCCTACCTCAACAATTTCTGAGATGAGAAATCCCAAGCTGGATAAGCACTCCACTGCTACAGATGCTACCAGGAAAGGGCTCAGAAGGGAGTTCACTTTTGCCACTGTGATGAGGTCTTTGTCGAGTTTGTATGTTCATGTGTAGACACATGCATAGCACAGGTGTAAGTGCCTAAGTGTTGTCCATAGATAAGGGAAGAAGGAAAAATATGCAAGCAAGTGCATGAATATAATGTTAATGTACGTTCAGTAGCAGATGGACAACACAAGAGGGCCAAAGAGAGGGAAGCAGGGTGAAATGACTGCGTGGTGTACTACTAACCTCCATTCTGTCTTTCAGCATGCACGGGGTCATATTTCTTATCTACTCAAATAAATCTTTTATTCAACACCAGAAGCAATAGTATGTGTGATAGGCAGAAATAATGAGCCGCGGCAGATATCCCTGCCCTAATCCACAGAACCTGTATATGTTACCTTACGTGGCAAAATGGGCTTTGCAGATGTAGTTAAGACCTTGAGATGGGGAGATTACCTTGGATTATCTGGGTGAGCCCAATGTAATCACAAGGGAAGCAGGAGGGGTAGAGATAGGGAAGAAGGTGTGAGGATGGCAGCACAGGTTGAAGGGATGTGGCCATGAGCAAAGGAACATGGGCTGCCTCTGAAAGTTAGGGAAGGCGAGGAATGGATTCTCTCACAGAGCCTCCAGAAGGAGCAAGGCTCTGCCGATACCTTGATTTAGCCCTGCCGATACCTTGAATTCTGACCTCCGGAACAGTCAGATAATAAATCTCTGTTGCTTTAAGTCACTAAGTTTGTGGTAATGTGTTACAGCAGCCTTTGGATACTGTCTTTGTTAATTTTTTTATTGTGATTGCCATCATTCTCTTCAAGATAAATATGCATTTTCTTTCCAGATGGAGTGCTCTTTGTTGGTACCTTTTGTACCGTAATGTAGAAAAGCTAGTGTCAGAATATGCTCTTCTACATCAGGGCATCTCCTTCAACTTAAAAGGCAAGAAATAGTTACAAAGTCCTGAAATCTCATTCAGGAAATGCTATATGCTAACTCCTATGTCTTTGTAATACATGCTTTATCTCAGCTCAACTCTCATTCTCCTCCACACACCAAAAGAATAGGCAAAGAATTCAGATACTATGACAGACAACGTTGCAGGGCAGTGTAAGTAGGGTGGCATCGAAACTCTGGACAGGACAGGGGTGGTGCATGGTTAAGTGGCAAACTGTGCCAGAAAAACTAGTAGATCGCCAGAGATTTCCATCAGCCTTGCAGAACCAGTCATGAAGCCATCACAAAGTTCTGCTGCCTAAATATCGGGAACATGCAATGATAATGAAATAGAAAATTAATTTAAGTTCACAATGACCTTCAGGAGACTAACAGAAAAACCAGTGCACCAATGTGATCTGCAGCCCAGCGAGCCTTATTCCGATGGGAAATCAAATTAGCTGCTCTCTCGTTATCTTGGAACGCGAACACAACTTGGTAGACCAATTGGCTACCTAGGCAGGTGGGTTCACTCAAGCTTTGAAAGATTTCTTCTAAGGTCTTCAGTGACCCTGATAAGAACACGTAGATTTGGGAGTCCTTGAAGGTACCAATAGTTTGGCTAATGACTTGTCCCTCAGAATAAGTGCTTTTCTTCATTTTGTGTTTCTCTTCATCTTGCATCCAGCTCCATCATCCTATCAACTCGTTAGCAAATCAGCAGCCCTAATAGTAAAGTCTGCACTGAGAATTAATGTTAATACTCCCTATTCATGTGCTCTCCTACAAATGCACCAGGGATTATTCTTACCATTATGGTGATTGGTAATAGACCTCATGAGGAAAGGGGACAAATGAAAGGGTAAATGAATGATTTGAAAGGCCATGTAGAATTCTGGTACCTACCAGATGAATAGTTACATTTTTTCCTTACCCCTCTCCCAAAAGAGGTCTGTCTCTCCACTGGGATTTCTAACTCTAGGGGAAAAGATTGGATCTTGTTACAGGTTGGAAGGATACTTCCTCAGAGTCAGTAATGGTGCCTGTGTCTCAGAAGCTAGAACAACAGGGGCAGAGAATATGCTGGATTGTCTGTGTGGGATACAACTTCGGTTGGACAAGAAAACCTATGTAGATTATAGTCAATTGTATTCCTTGGGGCGCCTGGCTGGCTCAGTCAATTAAGCGTCCAACTTCAGCTCAGGTCCTGATCTCACGGTTCGTGAGTTCAAGTCCTGCATCGGGCTCACTGCTGTCAACACAGAGGCCGCTTCAGATCCTCTGACCCTCTCTCTCTATGCCCCTCTCCCATGTACACACACACACTCTCTCTCTCTCAAATGTAAATAAATTTAAAAAAAATTATAGCTATTATATTCTTTAAGATGGCTGAGTTTATTAAAGGGAACTTTCGATTACTTGGGCAGCTGAAAATTATGTTATAGGTCCTTTATGTGTCAGGCACTCTCTTCATATTGGAGATACAGACATGATTAGGACATAACTCTCTACAGACACAGGTAAAGAGAGATACAATGTCATGAGTTTGAGTCATGGTTCCATCTCTGAGTAGCTGTGAGACAGTGTTTCTTTCTCATTTATAAAGTGAAGCTATTAAAATCCCTATCATCTGATTCGGGTAGTTAGCTGTTGCTTCCACTGAGTAGCTCAGAAACCAGTGTGGGGATAAATGGACACATGGATCCCTAAATGCTACGAGGGAGGTATATGCACATAGAGGGAAGCACAGGAGACCTGGGTGAAAGGGGACTTGATAAAGAATTTGTGGATATGGTAGAAGGGCCTGCAATCAAGACAGCACCCTGATTTATCAAATTTAGGGACTAAAGTTCCCCTATGCTCACTTAGCCAGACAAGTTCTAATAGAGCATCCTATCTACACAGCCTAAAGGTGCAGGCTGACCATTCATCGTGCTCTTTCTTGTTTGAGAGTAAATTGGAACCAGTAAAATAACATACACTTATTTATTCATTTATTCATTCAGCTATTATCTGTTCAGCGAAGTAACAAGCATCAGTCAGGGTGAGTGTTTTACTGAAATGCTAATGCTAAGACGGGAGTTCAGCTGCCCCTTACTCCAGGCATTGGTTGAGCCCAACTGAACTGATTAGCATAGATTCCTTTCTCCTTTCTCCACATAAACCAGCTGGTGTAGAGTCAATGTTAATCAAAATATACCTCAAACTATAAAATTGGACCAACTTAAGTAGAGAAACTGAGAAATAATTCCTGTAATTACAATGCAATTGCGATCCACTTAAGAAATTTAAATTACATTGGGATTCTCTAACCGGCTGCCCTTTGTTGACCATTTTATTAAGTGGCATAATTCGATCTGTATTAGTAGGCCTACATTTATCAAATGAGAAGCTTACTGTCAGATCAGTGTATATCGTATCCATGAAGCAACACTCCTTACTAAATTGCCTTAGTCTTTTGTATAATTTGAGTGATATTCAGGGAATATGACTTATTGGAATGTTTTATGGTCTTCTAGAATCCTAAATCCTTGTATCTATGCAACAGTTGCGTTGAGAGTCGGCTTCTCCCTTCTACCCAGTCCTACTTTTCTCACTTCTTTACAGGGTAAAGAAGTGCTCCCAAGAGCATTTCCCAGGACGCGTTCTGCAGGCAACTTTACGTCTCAAAGTCTGTCTCCAGGTAACCCAACCTAGCGTGCGATTGTCAATCAAAATGACCCCTTTGGGAAGCTTTACACAAAGTTTAATCATTCTGTCCTTGCTCAGAACCTGCGGAGAATTCCATTTGATGATCTGTTTTTAGAACTAGAAGCACATTTTATGCGAGATCTACCCCAAA